TCTCGAATCACGGACCTCTCACGCGTCGAGCGTGCCGACCTCTACACCACGAAGGCATGCTAAGAAGGCGGGAGAAATACCTTATAACTTTTCAAATTGCTGCCACCAAATATTATCGCCCCACCCCAGGGTAAGTGTTTGCTGACGGTGTATATGTTACGGTGAAACACCGAAATCTGGAGAATGTGGACTTTCACCGGTGAATGTCAACATTCACATAGTCGCTTGGTGTATGCCCAAAATATTTTCCAAACACTTTTATTTCTGACTTACACCGGTGAATGTCGACATTCACCATGTACTAACCCCTTCGCGCCGACTGTCACGTATACGTGCCAGCAACGAACGCACTTACCTACCGGCCGACACGCAGGCGTGCCAGAGGATTGTTCCATTCTCTACCGACTGTCACGTATTTGTGCCAGTACTTTGAAACGTTTTTCAAACTATAATTTCTGCCACAAGATGGCACTGTATGTCCATATGGTTTCAGATACATGTAAATTAGACCTTCTACTCGAAATGAGAGATGCATGACTCACATACACGTGTTTTTGATTATATAACAAACGGGGAAATAAATTTTCCGAATGGCGTGATTTATGACGTCTCTTTAAATCGCACTTTATTCGCACGTGGTAGTTGTTTACTGTAAGTAGAGAAGTTTTATTTGCTGTAAAGCGTTGGGTATTTCGGTTTGCAGTTCAGTTTTTAGAAAATAATTAGATCTTGTTAGACGTGAATTTATTTGTTTTTACCGTTGCAATGTCGAAGCGTCGAAAATGTTTAACAGAGCATGAAATAGCAGAAATGATGCAAAATATTTCAGATATTGATTCTGAAATTCTGATATTCTGATATTGATTCTGAAAGATTAACTGAAAGACATTTTCCCAAACTTTGTTCAGAAGAGACTGATAAGAAAATGAGACGACGATGCTTCGTTTGTTCACATTCCCGGAAAAATCCTCCAAAACGGCAAATGAGTTATTACGAGTGCAAGGAATGTAACGTAGGACTGCGTGTTGATCCCTGTTTTCAAATTTTTCATACGAAAAGAGAATTTTAAGTAATATATTTAGTTTTCAGATGTAGAATGTTAAAATTCATAAAATGGTGAGTAATTGAAATAAAATGTGTAAAATATGCATTTAAACAAGAAATAAGGTAATTAAAGTATATATATAAAATATTTATAAGCATAAGCCATTTAAATACTCTATAGAGCATTATTAAACAATGAGTTGATACTTCGGAAATTTCATGGATTTAGGCTTAGTAGCAAAAAAGAGAGACGCTCGCGTAAGACACTGCCGGCCTCAGCGATAAGCGCGCGCTTTCGCTACCCGGCTCAAAGGGGCTAATGGTGAATGTTGAACATATAAGAATATTATATTTCCTTCTCCGTAATTCATTCGCGAGAAAACGCACTTGAGACTCAGAATAAGAACTTAAGAATATAAGAACTTAAAACACACAGTACATTCAAAATGAGAAAGGAAAATAATAGAAGTTATAAACTTACCAAATTATGTGATTCAAATCTTATTTATTGCAACAACTTAAACTATTATGACACTTTGAATTGCACAAGAGGCCCTTGCTTTTACAACTGCATTTATTTGTGGAACACCTCCTTTTGGAGTGGCAGCGTGTACATATACTCCTCTCTTTTCGACTTACAGCAGAGCATATCTGTGATTGTCGACATACACCGGTGAGGGTGCGAATGTACAAGAATGTAAAGAAATATTCGATCTTTCACCGAAGTGTTTGGTGAATGTTGACATTCTCCGGTGAAAGTCGGCATTCTGCAGATTTCGGTGTTTACCACCATACAGATATATACAGATACATACAGATGTTAAATTTATTTATTAAATGTTAAATGCACGTGCTCTTGTACTTTTAATTTTTCCGGCGTTAGCTTGTTCATAATATTCATCACACGCTGCACTGCACTGGGAATAAAACAATTTACAGTTACGCAAGCAACCAATAAACTATATCGGCGACATACACTCAAGCCGCTTATATATATATATAGAAATTGCAGTTTTAATTTTCGGAATTCACGCACTACGTAAAGGATGACTCGTGTGCATTCAGCACAATACGGACTTGCTAAAAATGATATTCTTTTAACTGTGCATTATACCACAGTAAATATTGTTGAGTTCTACGGGTTCCTGGATATGGAATGATTGATGACAACACTTAAAGAAGAATGAAAATACAATTTATTCGCCAGTATCAAACAGGACATTTCCAAAGAGATGTTACAGTAGTCGAAGAAACTTATTCAGTCGCGAATAAACGCACTTGAAACTTGAAATAAGAACTTAAGAACATGAGAACCTAAAACACACAATACATTCAAAATGAGAAAGGAAAATAATAGAAGTTAAAAACTTACTTAATTATACAGTACGTTCTAAATGAGAAATAAAATAACAGTCATAAAAAACTTACTAAATTATGCGATTCAAATCTTATTTATTGCAACAACTTAAAACTATTATGGCACTTTATGACCTCTCTTTTCGACTTACAGCAGAGCATATCTGTGATTGTCGACATACACCGGTGAGGGTCCGAATGTAAAGAAATATTCGATCTTTCACCGAAGTGTTTGGTGAATGTTGACATTCTCCGGTGAAAGTCGACATTCTCCAATTTCGGTCTTTCACGGTAACATATATATACAATGCCGTCGCAAGCTTAGAAATGAAATTTTTATTAAATTTTGAAGCCTCATCATTCCTTTGCATATGATATATATATTTTACTTCAGTATCGATTCTTAATCAACCGTTCTTTTCCTACTTCATAGAGATTTAGAATAATTTAATTTAAGAACTAAACTAATTAATTTTTAACTCGTTGTTGAGAGATTTCACATTGCCTAATGATCTGTGGCAATTTTGAAATGCAATTCGTACTTTTGTATCCATATTTGAAACCGCTAGTCTGGAGTAATTTGATAACTTTTATTCTCATTTTTAATTGCCATTTTTGTTTTTCTTCTGCATTTAATTTAGTTCAAAGTTTTATAAAATTTTAAATCATATGCACAAGTCAGTTATTGTTGTATTTCTTTGCATATTGATGAGACGCTTACCTTTTTCACTATTTAGGGGTACCAGAAACCCCTATACCGACAATGTTAAATTGGTCATTTTCAATGTACCTTTTCTCAAAATCTGCTGTAGATACAAGCTTTAAATTTTTTCTGTAATTAAAGTATACCTATTCGATTATACTGAAATGAGCTTTTGAAACATTTTGAATTTTAGAGTAAATTACAGGATATTTTGTTAGGCATAGTAAAATTTAGCACTTTTCTCACACAAAAAAATTTAAAATTTTTTTTTTCTAAGTTTATTACAAAAAGCTCATTTCAGTAAATATTAGGGAACCTAATAAATAAGCCATAAAAGGTTTAGATACCTGTGAGCAGTAGTTCCTGAGAAAAGGTGCATCGAGTATAAAAAAAATCACGTTTGGAGAAAAACGCGTTTTTATGTAAAAATCCTCATTTATCAAAGCAGTAGATGAAAAATTAAAACTAGATTTTTTTACAGTTCTAATTTTCATAGAGATTAAAGAATGGTATTTTTAGAAAGATAAAAGTGTAGAGAATTTGAAAATGCAAAAATCCGAAATGCCTGTCGAGACATTTCGAACAAAAATCAAACAAACAAAAAATTAGCGGTGGTTTATTTAGCTTTTTAGTGCTATAAAGAAACTTTTGCCAATCAGTTTGAATCCTCACTGTCTGTCGCAGTGATCTCAAACTGCGCGCGAGCCGCAAATAGACGATCTAAAAATGTTATTTTTTAAAAATGTTATTTTTTAGATCGTGTATTTGTTGTTATTTTTTAGATCTAAAATGATATTTTTTAGATCGTGTAAAAAATAGTATTTTTAAATTGTGTATTTTGACCGTGTATTTTTAGATCGTGTATTTAGCTGACAAGGAATATTTTTTAGCAAAATAAAATTTTTTATTAACAAAGTAAAAAAGTATTTTAACTAAATTTTGAATTTCTCTTTCTAAATATGTATCAAAACATAGTAGGTGAACAATAAAAAAAAACATAAAACAAAACAAACAGATGCAAAATTTAAACACTTCGCTTTATTCTTCCTCATCACTTGTCAATTATTAATTAAAATAAACAAACATAAATGTGCATGCTAACCTGACCTGATATCAACACAAGCTGGTTTTCCTGTTTATATCATTTCAGCAATTTTAAGCTTACCTAGGCAAAGACTACAAAGTTTAACTCCATCGCATTAATTTTTTTTTTCTAAGTTTATTACAAAAAGCTCATTTCAGTAAATATTAGGGAACCTAATAAATAAGCCATAAAAGGTTTAGATACCTGTGAGCAGCAGTTCCTGAGAAAAGGTACATCGAATATAAAAAAATCACGTTTGGAGAAAAACGCGTTTTTATGTAAAAATCCTCATTGATCAAAGCAGTCGATGACAAATTAAAACTAGATTTTTTTACAGTTCTAATTTTCATAGAGATTAAAGAATGGTATTTTTGGAAAGATAAAAGCGTGGAGAATTTGAAAATGCAAAAAACCGAAATCACAATTTTTCGAAGATTTTGGGGTTCCAAATCCCCTTTAGCACCAAGCGAGCTAAAAACATTTGAATGATCTTTACCCTTATTCATAAGTTTTATATTATCTACAAACTCATTGCCGGTGATAGGTGTTTTATTTCCGATACAATCTCTGCGAGTCTTATATTCTGTAGCCCCGTGTATTAAAAAAATAATAAATTCCGTTCCCAAATTCTGCTGCAGAGTACTTAACACAGCTGTAATAATTTTGACATCCATAAATTTTGCTGGTCGGTGTTTCTGTCGGTCTTAAAAATTTCGCTGCCCTGTGCGACTGCACCAGTTGCACTGGCTTCAATATCTGTCCTGTATTGAAACTACTTTAATTATTAATTTCTCGTTTTTTGTATTTTCACAGAGGCGTCTTCGACAGAAAGTAGGCAAGTGGATGGCCATGAAGAGGAGAATAATTCTGCGGAAACGTCCACGATAGAGTAAGTGCGTTTGTAGTTTTATGATGCCGATGCCAAATGATCATATACACACGACAAGGTAAAAATAAGGACACGTAAAATGTTAACTCTGAAAATTAATCTGAAATTGTGCATGTATTTATAAGCAACTTAACGGAAAAAAATATACCTTAAGTTAGAACATTTTTATAGTCTCGCTCTTTTAAGTTGTAGAGACATTAGGTAATTTTTGGAAGAAGAAGAGTTGAAAAATTAGCATCGCCTTCGCCGGGAATCGAACCATGGACATCTGAAATAGCGGCCTCAGTGTCCTGACCACTACACCACGAGGACATGCTAGGAAGGCGGGAGAAATACCTTACATACCCCCTTTAAAATGGCGACTGGGGTTTTTAGGGGACCCAATCGCCAAATCCTGGGTGTGGAGAGTCATCATCCACAACCCTTTTAGTTCGGGCGCCACTGTAGAGACATTAGGTTAATTGGAAGCAGGCAAGATGAAAATATGCAACGCCTTTGCCGGGAATCGAACCGCGGACATCTGAAATACCGGCTCAGTGTGCTGACTACTACACCACGAAGGCACGCTAGGAAGGCGAGAGAAATACCTTACAAGGTAACATACACTAAATCAAGACTCTAGTAGACTTGAGCGAATTATGGCTATGTCTAGATAAGCAAAAGAAACGTGTGTCAATGATCCTTTTATTCAAAACTCAAATAACTTGACAGAAGGCCCGTTTTTGTGCTTACAAACCAGCCAGCATAGGTAAGGTAAGAAAAAAGGAGAGAAGTCCACCCGCCTGGCATTGCTGCCATATGGTTATCGGAGCTTCTTCCGTCGAACCACACATCATTCAGAAAGGAAAGAAAGAGAAACAAAAAGGTAATTAAATCAAAACAATGTTGTTAGTTTAATAACATTATTAATAACGTAGGTAAGGTATTCAATTTAAATCAAATCTAAGCCTTAAATTAGTCAAAGGCTAAACGGATGTAACTAGCTGGCAAGCTGGCTCAAACCTGCGTCGACGTGACAAGCATACTATTGGCAAGAATTAAGCAAAGCTGAAAACACAACGGTGATGTAGAATATCAACTGGTAACGTGGCCTTCAGCAGGCCGAACACGCTCTATCCAAGCAATATAAAACCTGCTTTTAATTACTATCTATCGTACTTTCAGGCGAATAGCGCGCAAGTATAATTTAAAGCTACATTTAAAAAAATTTTTACGTATATTCACGTATAACGCGATGTCACTTATTCGAACATTTGTGCTAGCCTTTCGAACAATGATAAAGCGCAATGACAAGTGATAAGGGAAAGAATATGCGTGTGGGTTAAATGCTCGAGTGAGTATATATTCCGGCAGAGATGGTGTATTGTATTCAATGCAGCTGTCCGAAAGAATGCACTTCTAATCTGTGTGAATTCGTGCAATTGGGAGTTAAATGCGTTCCCCTTCTGTAGTCGTTTGAAGCCGAGATTTTGAAGTGGAAATTGTAAACCGCATTTGCTTTAGTTGAAATACAGTTGATCTAGTGTTCCTTTTAGCAGCAAATATGGCTTTCGACAAAGAAACAAACACTGTGCTGGTTTCAAATGCAAGGCCATTCATTTTGCGAAAGAAAATGGAAATCGTGTTGCAGCAAATATGTTTGGCGTTGGTGAAAGATGGAACGGATAATGATCATTTATTTATGGATCAATATAACAACGATGATGAAGATGAAACAAAATTCTGTGATACGCCTGAAGATATAACGGAAGACAAACTCTACAGAGGCTGTTCGCACATTTTTTAGACGATTTTGGTAAGCGGTAATAAAACATCGTTTGCTGCAAAAGAGAAGTAATTGCAATTGTACTATGTTTTTAAAAGTCAAAATTATCGTCTGTGGCTTGAGATTTTTGTTTTTATTCAAAATGGCGAATTTAACAAAGCAGTGAATCGAAGGCTACATTTGCGCTCTTTTCGAAGAGAAATAGGCATACTCCGTTATCCAAAAACGATGTGAGAGTCATGGTATTGTGATATCTAAAGCGTCGATAGGTAATATCATCAACAAGAAAGGAAAAAACGTCAAATTGGAGCCTCAAGTGGGACAAAAATTCCAAACAAGTATCCAAGATAAAAACGGACATCTTAGACTATTGCAATGGTACGTAGTTTAATGTTAAAAGAAAATCCCTTCAGTCAAAGGACAGTTGCAAAATCATTAAAATGCTCGGTGTGCACTGTAAACAAAATGATAAACGTTGATTTAAATCTTAAGAAAGCGAAAAAACGCAATGTGCATCGTCTTCTTCCAAAGCATATCGCTCAACGCAGGACACGCTGCAGAATTCTATATGAGAAACACTTATCCAAAGAAAAATCGAAAACAATTGTCACAATAGATGAAGCATGGGTGTATTTAAATGATTGTAACAAAAAAAAAAAAAGAGCCATTTATTATCATAAAAAGGGAGAAAATAAATTACATGGTTCAAAGAATGGAAAGAAAGTTTTTCTAAGGGACTCATGATTGTTGCTGGTTTTTCTTATAATGGCAATTTAAAAATAAAGAGAGTGCAAAAAAATGTCAAGATTTACTCCAAATACTATCAGGAACATATTTTATCGCCAATTTTTCTGAATGAAATACCATCGCTTTACCCACATTGCCATCCATCTGTGAGACTCCATTGAGACAAAGCTAGCAGTCACACATCCAAATCCACTGTAAATTTCCTAAAAGAAATGGAACAAAAAACTGGTATCAAGGCCATACCCTTCACTGATATCCCTACTAAATCTCCCGATGTGTCACCTATGGATTTTTGTGCTTCCAGACTTTTAAAAACTGCACTATCCAAACGTTGTCAGAAACCCTAACAGGACTCTGGAAAGCAGTTCGGGAGGAATGGTATAGAATATACAGGGGTTGGACGAAAATATGGAAACACCTTTAAAAAAACATGTTTCTTTGCTTAATATGGTGTAGGAAACCCGTTGGCATCCAAAACAGCTTGCAGTCTTCTCGGAATGGATAAATACAGTTCCTGTATGTTTTCCAAGGGAATATTATACCATTCTTCCTGCAAAACGGTGGCAAGTTCAGATAACGATGTTGGCGGTGGATAACGAGAACGCACTTTTCGTTCCAATGTAGACCACAAAGGTTCGATAATATTCAGGTCTTGTGACTGTGGTGGCCAGGGGAGATGGGACAACTCATCCTCGTGCTCAGGAAACCAGTCCTGGACAATGTGAGCTGTGTGAACAGGGGCTTTGTCGTCTTGGAAGACACCATCACCATCGGGGAACAAAGTTTGTACCATGGGATGAACTTGATCGGCCAAAATGTTCACATAAGTCTTGGCAGTCGTGTGCCCTGACACAGTTATCATGGGGCTAGCAGAGAACCACGATATGGCTGCCCAAACCATAACAGAACCCCCGCCATATTTCACTCTTGGCAACAAGCAGTCTGTATTATAGGCTTGAGAAGGCGTTCTCCAGACGTAAACTCGGCCAGAAGTGGGAAACAATATGAAAGAAGACTCGTCAGACCATATTACTCGCTTCCACTGCTCTATAGTCCAGGCTTTATGACTTAAACACCACCTTTTCCTGTTACGGGCATTAGCATCACTGATGAGTGGCTTCTCAATTGCAGGCCCCTTCTAATTGTTTTGGTACTCACAGGGTTCGGTAACACAACATTCATTTCAGCAGTAACTTTAGCAGCTGTGGTCTTCTTATTTTTCGTCACAATTGCCCTTAATGATCGTCTGTCACGATCACTCAGGACACACTTTCGTCCGCGCTGTGATTTAGCAGATGATGTTTTTCCGCTTTTCAAATATGCGGAATAAATCTTCGATACAGTACCTCTTGAAAAACTAAACACCTCGGCTACCTTGCTTACGGAAGCACCTACCATACGTGCTCCAACAATTTGCCCACGTTCGAAGTCTGTTAACTCTGACATAATGCAATGACAACCTCACATAACAGTACTCTGACAACAACTGAACTGTTAAGCACATTTACGAAGTTATATAGGTGGCGTCAGTAGTCAAAAACGCCAGCGCCACCTACATATTTCATTAAATTCAATCTTTCTTTTCAAACATGCATTTCACAAGGTATTTCCATATTTTTGTCCATCCACTGTATCTTCTGCCACTTCAAAAGGCAATATTATCCTGGAAATTGCGGTGTCGAAAGGTAGTTCAGAATAAGGGATGTCAAATAGGACATTTAAAACACAATTTTATGTAATTTAGTTTTGTGAATACAATATACATCGTCTAAAAAATGTGTGAGCAGCCTCTGCACATGCTATCCGATAATGAAAATGGTTAATTTCATAAGGTATGTTATTGCTTTCAAATAAGCAGCATTTCGGTGCATGTGAAAAATCTAATTTTTTTCTGATTTTTCTGCTATCATTTTTATATCCGGCAGCACCTGTAAATTTCGATGCGATATTTTGTATTACAAGTGAGCGTCATAGGCCGGAATATATGGTTACCTCGTTTGAATACGCGCGAACTTAAATTAACATTTTGGCAGGAAAGCGGAAAGGGAGAAGTGACAGGTAAAATGCGTAACCTATACTAACGGGTTAGATAAAATAAATAAATACGTTACAGTTTATGTAGTTTACAAGTAAGGGTAAACATGCTCATCTAACTCATAACTCCTACTTTAGGTTTTCCTCTAACTACTTAAACTACATCGCTACATCTATCTAAAGATCTAAAAATGGAATTTTGAAACGAATCTCTATTTGATGAATAACATGAAGTTTTTTTGCTAGGAGAAATGTTAATTAGTATTCGGAGAGGCTTTAATTTTAGAAAATATTATTTTCGTTTCTTATTACGTAAGGAATTATCACATTTTCCCTTGCCTGCATGCTGTCCGGATGGCATAATGGCAAACCGCACATTGAGTTGACCAATGTTAAACGAATTTCGCTTACTGCGCATGCTCAAAAGAGAATTTTGGCACAGTTACGACTTTGG